GGAATTGTAGGCCAAAACATTACAGGGGCCAAAGGCTACCCACCTCAACTGTAAGGACTTTTAAGGGAGAACCCAAGAATTATTATTAAAACAGAATTACCTTTTTATGTCATGCTTTGAGTTCAGCCCCTGTGGGCCTCTCTTCTTTTCCATTAGTTTCCCCCATCTAGTTTTTGGTAAGTCACGCTGAGGCAATGGTATGACATGTTGAACATAGAGATCAGTAAGACCATCTTTACTGATCTTTACCTCATCTTCAACTGGAATATTCTTCTGTTGAAATGCAGTGAAAACTGTTACTATGCATACACATATTCTCCATAATTAATATACATTAAAATTAGAACTGTAACTAATAATATACTGTTTACCTTCATGAAATAGCACATATATTTGGAGTACAAAACTTGCTGGCATGTTTTTGTAATTCACTGCACCCACTCCATTTTCCCACATGAGATCTGCAATTCATCTCCTCAATTATTATGATAACATATCTGCAAGCTAAGAAAACACTTTACAACATTTAGTTTTGTTTGTCTGTTTAACGTAGAACATTTATTGTTGGTGATGGTTAAGTATTGCTGAGGAGAGAAAATGGGCCCAAGGTGCCATTTGCAGGAATGCTGCTTGATGACACAAGCTATTCATGCTAGTAAGTAGATCTAAAAGCTATTTACACTAGACCTTTTCTCACTTCTGAACATCTTGCTCAATCTATTGTCTTTTCCAGTCCTTTATCCTGATTTTTCTGATCATTTTAAAGGTTATTTTAAATTGTTTACTCCTACACCCCCCCCGCACAGTTTGTAATCATTTTCATAGTATCCAAATACAATCAATCAATTCATGGCCCTATAAACTGAAAAGGCTGGATTCACCTGCTCAGCTATTGAAACAAGCAGGTTCTTCATAGGGTGGGAAAAAAGCCACCTTCATTGACTGAAACAAAAAGTACTGCTGTGTCCACAAGCATGTTAAGAGTTCAACAAATTTATTAGCCAGGGGAAATCAGAGATCACTTCACTCCTTACCTCTTTCTAGAAATATAAAGCATGAATGCAATAGACAAAGTGGTGTTGCAAAGATAAGAGACATACTAGCAAATCTGCCAGGGCAATCAAAGTGTTGCCTGTAGAAGACCCTTGAGAATCGAGAAGGGATTAGAAGAGCCTCTGGAAAAGTTATGGACTGCCAACTTTATTCCTTCTCCCCCTCCTTTTTTTAGCTTGAAAGCCCTGGCTCTGGTACTTTTAACAGCAGCAGAAACAACGTTATCTGCTGACATTAGCATCAGAACGCTCGTATTCCTACCGAGAAAAGCTTCTCCTGCGGATCTTCACAGGCCTAGCTCCCGTGAAAGGCAGGAGAGCAGGTCAAGAGAAGTTCCCCCAGGTCAGCTGGCAACCCAAGACCCGACGCGGCGCGCAGCGGGGAGAGAGGCGCGGCGCGGCGCGGCAGGGGTTCGGCGGGCCCTACGGCGGCTCGCGAGTGCTCCCGCCCCGCCGCGCCGCCCCGCCCCGCCGCCGGGGGGAGCGCGCCCGCCCGCCCGCCGCGTGCCTCGCTACCTGCTCCAGGGTCAGCAGCAAGAACTCCTGCGAAAGCAGCTCCGGATGCAGCAGCAGGTCCGAGTCCATTCGCGCGCCGGGCTTGCCTGCCCCCCCAGCGGAAGAGTCCCAGGCTCCGAGCGCCGCCATCTTTCCGAACGCGACCCTGATTGGCTGCCTGAGAGTCCCGTGCCGAGGCTCTTTCCGGTTACCCACAAGTCGCGCTAGAGCGGAGCGTGGTGGGAGTGCAGAGACGGAGGCAGCGATGTGGAGCGATTCGCGGCCGAGCTGAGGACGGAAGCCTTGAAAAAACGGTTTTGCTGTCAGCTGCACCAGCGAGATAGTGAAAGCTACCCGCAGGAATTAGTGGAAGGAGGAGGCCTCTGGTTAACAAAACCACAAAGGCATCCCAGAGAAAAGGTAGCAGAAAGTTGCACCTTCTGACCCGGCGCGGATTTGAAAGCAAGACAAGTACAGCCCTGCCAGGCTACGTTCAAATGGAAATACAATCGCTTATCGCCCTATGGTGCGGTTGCTATGGCTGAAAAAAGACTGGTTTACGACAGTCCTGCAGTGTATTCTGGTGTTACCCGTATCGGAAGCTAGGGATCGGACGAGGATGAAGACCGGCACCCAACCACCCTGCGGTGCTGCATCCTTACCTGCCAGTTAAGTGGAGGGGCTTACGATAGGCACGTCGTGCTGCCCGTGATTAATCTTGCAGGCTTTAAATGCGGCTGCTTTGAATTTGCAGCTAAAAGCGTCACACGGAATATTTGCGGCAAAGGCCAAATCATTCCTTTAGGGCGCAGTCCTAGGCATGGTTACACAGGAAAGGTCCTACAACTGCCAGCGTGCCTCAGACAACGTGGCAAGCTGGGGAATTTTGCGAGTTATAGGATTTTGTTCCCCCTGGCTAAAAAGAAGATTGCCCCTTCTCCTTTCCCAGGCTAAATCGACAGCCAGATGCCTGCAAGAGTCTTATTTTTTTATTTAAACCTTTTATAAATCGTCCTTATGCTAGCGTCTCGGGACGACTTACATCAAACAACAAGTATAAGAGAAATTAAAATAGCACAGCATGCAGTATAAGACATATTAAAAACCAGTTAAACATTAAAATAACGGGAAAATAAAAAGATTTTCGCCTGGCGCAGAAAAGACAGAAAAGTTGTGTTCTGTTGCACTATGAACGGCTGTTTAAATGTTAATATAAGGTGTGTTTTATGTACAGTACATGTACGATAGGTTATATTGGTTAGTTTTGGACTGCGCTAGATCACACTCAAAGTGAAGCTCTTTGGGTGAATTTGAGCCAGTCACTCTCAGCCTAGCCTACCTCACAGGATTGTTGCTGTGAGGGGAAAATGGATCGGAGGCAAACCATATAAGCTTAGTTTGCTCGCAAGACGTTAAAAAAGGACATAAATGCAATGCAATAATAATATGATTTCTATTCTTAGCTTTCTTGGATATAAGTGTGTTTATATGTTTATGCTCTTTTTTTTAAAACTGATAAAGCCAGCACCAAAACATTTTCCATAAGAAAGGTGCATGAACTCCTGCCTTCGCTGCTTCGCTGCATCTTTGTAGTATCTTTGCTGCATCGCTGCTCAAGCACCGGTTTCTCCGTTGTTTTCTTTAGGTACCTCTCGCTTCCACCTGAAACCTGGATTTTTAATTGCATGTCATTTCTATGGGCCGAAGAGAACTCGAGACGGAGCGGGAGGAGAAGGGAAAGCGCAGGCGCATTGCCTGGCATGACGACCACTTCCGGGTTGGGAGGTCTGGGTTTGGTGGCCGGGCGACAACTGCGGGCGCCCCCCTCCTCTACGTGACGGCTTTCGTTTTATTCCTTATATTTCTTTCTATTTATTATTGTGTTTAATGCATTATTTTCATTCGATTTTTACACATTGACTCGTGCAATAAAAATAATATACGTAGTACATTGGGTGTGGTTTTTTAATTATTTGTTAAATTTACCGCATTCTGTCCACTAGGTTATGGTACAATTGATTATATTTTTAACCTTATGCACCATCTAAAATTGAATGGCAAATCTGGTTTTGCTTATAATAAAGACTGTCATGTTTTTCTTCTGCTTACCTGGAAAACTGTTATTTATGGTGCATTTATATCCCACCTTTCTTCATCTTGCAAAGAACTCTAGGCAATTTACAACGTTTTTCTTTCCATTTTGTGCACTTCGGTGTTTAGTCATGCCAGCCACATGACCACGGAGACTGCGGACAAGCGCTGGCTCCCTCGGCTAGGAAACGGAGATGAGCACCGCCCCCTAGAGTCAGGCATGACTGGATGTAACATCAAGGGGAAGCCTTTACCTTTTTTTCTTTCCATTTTAGCCTCACAACAGCCCTGTGAAGTAGGTTATGCTGAGAGTCTGTGACTGGTCCAAAGCTATTCTGGGAGTTTTACGACTGAGTAGGAACTGGGACTAGAGACCAGGTGTCAGGCAGCCCAGTCCAATATTCTTAACCATTATACCACAAAGGCTTTCAGACATGCTGAAGGCAGACTAAAAAGAGCACCCCATGACCTGATCCTTTTCACTGTTGCATTCACTGCTTTTTCACCAGTCTTTTGCTCTGGCCCAGACAGTGGTAGTGGTAGAATAGAAGCACTATATAATCATTCATTCATTCATTTTATTTACAATATTTTTACCCTGTCCTTAACAAACATCTCAAGGTGGCTTACAACATAAGAATTTTTTTCTTGCTGTCTAGATGGAATCTGCCTTGGTGTAACTTGAGCCCTTTATTCCATGTCCTGCACACTGATGATTGAGAAGATTCCTTTTTGTGCCAGCCTTTCAAGTACTTGTAGGGCGCTATTATATCTCTCCTCAGAGCTAAATATGCTCAGTTCTTTCCACCTCTCCTTACAGAGCTTTGTTTCCAGTCCCTGGATCTTCCTCTAAACACTTTCTAGCTTATCTGCATCTTCCCTCCCTGAAGTCCCTAGTGATCTTCAAGGACTGAACGGGCTCATAGAAGGAGCTGAATCCACTGTGGGCTAGATAGGACCTTTTGCAAGTTGGAAGTTTTCAACCTTGATGTAGCTTGACAGAGTAGTGGAAAACTCAAAAACCATTTCTATTCCACTTTTCTAATAATTTTTCAAAGTGGTGTACAATCCAAGTAAAACCTCTGCACAGAATAAAATCTGCATTATAATACCCAATAGACATCTGTAGTATGCTTATATAATAAACATTTTTGCATATAACTGGAAACCACTTCTGGCATTGTGTTGGTTGTTAATACATTACTGAGTAGTATTACAGAATGGGTTAGGAATCTCAGCCCAAGGACCAATTTCAAATTTGGAGAAGTGTGGAATGAGGAGTGGACAAAGGAGGAGGCGCCAAAGCAAAAAAGTGTGGGGCAAATAGCAACAAATGGCAGCAGATTAGAGTATAACGCTCTTACTGCCAGTAACTAAGCTTCGCAAGAAGCTTTGCAACCTTTCAAAAGGGGGAAACCGCACACAATCTGTGAAACCACTAAATGATTGGTGGATGGACAAAAAGGGGTGAGGCCAGGGGAAAGGGGCATGGCCATGGAGGGAATCCCTGAGGAGCAGATGGGGCCCTATACCAGGACTAAAGCAGGATCAGCTCAGATTTTAGGAGCCCCTTGGATGGCATGCCCTCGGGGCCCCTTCACCCTAAATAGCCTGCCTCCTAATGGATGTGGCTGCTGCCTATTTGCATCAGGGCTCCTCTTGGCATAAACCATATGACCACCTTGAATGAGAGGGAAAGATGAGTGGAAGCTGTTTCTTCTTGCTTCTATTATTGGTTGTACTTGTGCCCTGGGGAGAGACATTGATATGTGCAAAGAAGAGAAGGCGGGTCTGATGAAGTGCAGTACTCTCCCTGTTTGACCAAGGCAAGTTCCAGACAATGGATCTGTTACCAGGCACTTTTAAAAGAGGTGATACACTATTAAAACAAACAGACTCTTGAACACAGAACACGGATTTAGATGGCATGGTTTACTGAAACACTTCTGAGAGAACTGTGCATGTTCAGCCTTGAGAAGAGAAGACTGAACGGGGACATGATATCCCTCTATTAGTACCTCAAAGTATGTCATAAAGAGGAAGGTCAAGATCTTTCTTTACTGATACCAGAGTGTAGGACATGGAATAATCAAGTCAAGTCATGGAATAATCAAGTCAAGTCATGACAATCCAGATTCAGGCTGGACATCAGGAAAAGCTTCCTTACTGTCAGAGCAATACAAGAGTGGAACCAACTGCCTAGAGAGGTGGTGGGTGCTCCCACACTGGAGACATTCAAGAAGAACCTGGACAGCCATCTGAGTGGGATGGTGTAATGCGGTGTCTTGTAACAGTAGGAGATTGGCCCTGATGGTCTTCATAGCCTCTTCTAATTCTGCAATTCTATGAGTCTTAGAATTTCCACTAAAACTATCACAGTGGATGTATAAGAATATAACACAAAAATTTTACAATCAGTTATTTTATCTGGTTGCTGTGGTCATACCAATGTACAACCAACTTTATGCAAACATTGCTTCATGCGGTTATGTACACAGTACGTATTATATGAAGAAAATAAGTAGCTGTTTCAAATATAGGAACTATCCCTTTATTCTTGCTTATCCTAAGCCATTTTTAGATTGACTTTTGATAGATCAATTTAGCAGAATATAGAAAGATGTAGATTGATGTCCATTCAGCTTTGAACTACAATATTTCAGTTTAGTGGAGATTTCTTCCAGGTAAATGAGATAGGATTCTACTTTAATATATTATATAGTGACAATTACATCTGCTATATGGATTAAGATCTTTTCCCGTGTGCAAAAGTCTAGAATGTATATTTATAAGATTGGATTAATACAGTTCTGATTGATTAACTCTTCTGAAGGACTTATAGAGTTCATACTGTCTCAGGATACAGAACTGTTTAATGTACCTACACGAAGAAAATAATTAACCAAGAAACTTGCTGCACTGGTTTCTAATGCTTTGCTTTCTGACCTTGCCTAATCCAGTCAAACTGGAGCAATTGAAAGAAGCTGAATGAAATCCGCCCAATATATGTGTTATTGTGATGCTTGCAAAATCTCACTGATAATTCGTTACTTGGATGGTTTATAAAGTTCCCCTTGGAATATTTTTCCCTTGAGGCATATTGGCTCTTGCCTTCATATAACAATATTTATTTTAATCAAATTAAAATACAAGACAATATACAATTAATAATGCAATCCAAATCTATACATGTCTATTCAGAAGTAAGACCCATTGAGTTCTTAGCTTCAAATAAATGTAAATACCATAACAGCCTATATTCTCACCAGAAGAAAAAGGTTACACCTGAAAAACCATTATATTATATTGAGCATTGCTTGGCTTACCCCTTTCTGTGTTTTAATACTGTTTCTGTTCAGCACGAACAAGGCTTTCTGGCCCTTCTAACCAATTCATATCATTCTAAGGAGATGAACGTAGCACAGGAAACTATTGAGAATAAAAATCCTACTAGTGAACAAGTCTGTGCACCCTTATCAGAAAATAAGCTCCACTGATTCCAAAGAGGTTTATTTCTGAGTAAATGTATGTAGGACTGAAATGTGCATGGTCAAATGCTTATTAGTTACTTCAGCCTATTATCATCCTTTTATACATTCATAACAAGGCAGCTAACAACTAATATGACCTATATGTCATGTGAAAATCTTATAAGCGATTCAGGGTGTACAGGGCTGTAATCCTATACACACTTACCTGGGAATATGTTCTGTTGACCCAAGCTGAGTAGACATACTCAGAGGGCTTATAATAATAAAAAAAATCCATGCTGCACATACTTCACCTAAATAAGACTCTATGTTAGAGTGAGTCCTGCAGCATTTTAAAGACTGACACCTTATTATGGTGTCAGGTCTTGTGGAACAAAGTTCTACTTCAATGGGTGCATGCTATTCTAGGTTGACAGGTGTGTGTGCATATAAAACATGCACAATTGTGGGGAAGGAGTTGTAAACAGTGAGGTGAAAATGAAATTAGATACAAAATGTATGGGCTAACAGTTTAAAGCTTAACATTGTTGTAATGACCATTCATAAATAGTGTTGATGATAACCCACATATCTTGTCATTGGTAAGCTAATACCTTTTCCAGGATTTTTTTTTTTTAAATATGTGATTCAGGCCAGAACTAATATATTTGAGCTGATTTATAATTCAGTGATTTTATGCTGGCACTTCAAAGGAAGGCTAAAGCATACAACAATCTAATTTATCAGAATTTTCACTGAACATGAGTGGTTATGGTAATGCATTTAGATTTTAACATTATTGTCACACGTTATACTTCTAGCAGGTCATTCCCTTTAACCTCACAGTGCACAGTTCCTCCGTGTAAGCACGAGTATTTATTCTTAGTATAAGAATAAACTTCATGCATCTGACAAAGTGGATTCTAGTCTACAAAAACAGATGCCATAATATACATTTCATAAGTTTAAATGTCCTAGTCACAAACACTTTTTCAGGATGCATGATGCAGCCCACCTCTAAAGCATTCCTCTGACATTCCGAAAGCTACTTGTCAATATTATTTTATTCAAAGGACTGTAGGACAGGGAGCAGGATCCAACCCCATCTCAGTGCATTCTTCTTCTTATTATTATTATTCTGGAGGTTTGAGCTGGAAATCCTTTTCTTTAAATTTATTTTTTCCTGCATGGGTGGTCTCTAAAATCCATCATGTAAGTAACCAATCATTCTGGATTGAAAGCATTCCCAAGGTCCTTCCAAAATCCAGTGTGTGCCTATAGCCATTCATAATGCATTTTATAGGCAATTCTGTGTCATCTACTTTAATAAGTTCCCAGTGGAGTGAAGCCTAAGTAAGGAGCACAGCTCCTCAGTCTTATTATTCTTC